TCCCTGGGACCATTCCAGGCCAGGTTGGCCGGGGCTGTGAGCAACCTGATGTGGTTCAAGGTGTCCCTGCTCCTGCAGGGGGGTTGGGCTGGGTGACCTCTAGGGGTCCCTTCCAACCCAAACCATTCTGTGATTCTATGATGCTAAATACGCACTGGGGTCTAACTGCCCAGCAGAAATCAGTTCTGCTTTTTTACTCTTGCTTAATTAGATCCTTGTTTGTTGTGCCGTGTTTTCTGAGTGGCGTTCTGAGCAGTGAGAAATAATGGCAAGGTCATAAAAGGAGGAGGAGGAACAGCAGGAGCTGGGGCAGGTATTTACACTTGTCCTGGTTTCGGCTGGGATAGAGTTAATTTTCTTCACAGTAGCTAGCATAGTGCTGTGTTTTGGATTTAGTACCAGAATAATGTTGATAACACACTGATGTTTTCGGTCGCGGGCAGAGTGGTCGCAGCTCGGGCTGTGTGATCGCGGCTCGGGGGGAGTGATCGCGGCTCGGGGCGGGCTGGGCACCGGTCAGTGGGTGGTGAGCAATTGCATTGTGCATCACTTGTTTTATATATATTCTGTATATTCTCTTATTATTATTATTATTATTACTACTATTGTTATTCTTCTCTCTTATTAAACTGTCTCTATCTCAACCCACGGGTCTTACTTTTTTTTTTCTTTTCTCCTATTCTCTCCCCCATCCCACAGAGGGAGGGGGGGAGTGAGCGAGCGGCTGCGTGGTGCTTAGTTGCCAGCCAGGTTAAACCACGACAACACTGCAGCCCACGGAGAGTCCGTGATGGACCAGGGCAACAGTGTGAGAAGAGACTACTGTGGGCTCATGCTAACCTGCCTCATCCTCCCTGTGCCGCTTGGGCTGGGGTTGCAGGAGTCCGAGTTCAGCTGGGCAGAGGAGGGAGGAAAGTTTTTGGGGTTTTGTCTTTTTGTTTCTCAATACCCAAATCTTACCGTGTTCCTGGCACAGCTCAGCACTTGCACTGGCACAGCTTGTCTCAGCTCCACAGAGGCACGGGATGGGGTGCGGGGAGCATGAGCTCTGCCAGAAACCTCCGCCACCTGCATTCCCTGGAGCAGCAGGAGCTCCCTGCTCCGCTTGTTGGGGGATGGCAGGGGTTTGTGCCACTCCACGGCAAGGAGCGGCTGTCCCGGGGTAAGGCAGCGCAGTCAGTGGCACAAGACCTCTCCTCCTCCCCAGAATGGCACAGGATGCCTATGGCCATCTGTGCCACCACGAGGACGGCGAGGAGAGACCATCCCCGCGGGCGTGCAGGAAGGCTGTGAGCATCTCCTGGGTAGAGCTGGCTCAGGTGGCTCCGCAGGGGCCCGAGTTTTGGTGCTGTGCACGTGCGGGGGTGGCAGAGTCAGTGCTCCAGCGCTTGGAGGTGGCTGCAGGAGGAAGCTTGTTTGGGGGTCCCAGAGGAGCTTGAGAGGGCTGGTGTACATTGCGCTCAGAGCTAGGATGGCATTTTAGGGAAATGAGCCGTTTGTCTCCTGCAAAGTCCCGAGGAGGGCTTTAGAAAACAAGGACACGGGGAGGGAAAGCCACCCTGAGCCACTGTCCTGTATCTAACAATTTATCCTGTGGCTATTCCAGCCTGAGAATCCTATCACAGAAGCCTGTCATCCCTTTAATCCATGATTTAGGACATAGGGGGGAGTAGGCTGAATTTCACTGTCACCTAGAAAAAGCTTGAGCAGGATAAGTCCAGGTGTGAGGGCCAGGGGTGGATTGCCAGTGCTCGTGGCTGCGGCTTTGTTCTCTGGTTCCGATGTCTGCTGTGGAAGAGGACCCGTGGGAGAGGCCGTGTGGACCTCTGCCATCAGACCAGAACTGCCTGGTGTCTCCTGGGTGTTGGACAGGGTGAAGGGTGGGGTGGGATGGATTCTTGCCAACTGCTTGGCACCTGGGTTTGGTCAGGGGAGTCATTCCCTGGCTCCTCTTAGGAGGGGGCGTCTGTCCAGTGCTTTTCTCCTCGTACCCAAAACCCACTCCGAGGGAGCTTGCCCCAAAGTCTGGCCCCCGTGCTGACCAGGAACCACAACCTGAGGTGGCTCAGTTCTGTCAGACAGAGGGAAACGTCTTCCAACATTGCAGAGGGCTTCTGGTTTTGGCTTGGTCTTTCTCATCAGGGCAGAGTGGAAGCCTCTAGGAGAGCTCTGCGGAGGGGGAGCTGGCCGTCCTGCAGGAGTGAGGGCATGTGCAGGGCACAGGGAAGGGGGCTGCAAACCCTGGCTGGTGCTGTCCCGGGAATGCTGCTCCCTCCTGCTGGTGCGTGGTTGTCCTGATGAAAGGCACCGGGCAGCTGAGTCGCAGGTGGTGTCTGGAGTGTTGACTGCCGTACCGAATATTAACCAGGTCATTGTCCCAAGTGACGCACTTGTCCCAAGGTGGCCAATGACAGAGGCACCCACTTCTAGGACAGCAGGTTCCCAGGTTTCAGAAGCCCATCTCTCAGTGGCCCCAGCCAGCCCCGTGGCACAGGCTTTCTCCGGACGGAAGCCCTGGTTCAGGGCATCGGTTTGCCCTGTCCTGTGTTCCGGCTCTTGCCCCCACAACCTGCCCCTTTCCCCCCATCATGGGTGAGCCTCCCGTGCCCAGGGCAGTGGAATCGCCCGTGGGTGGCAAAGTGTTGGGTCCAGTGCTGAGTTTTGGTTAGCCAGCTAGCTGGGGGGCCCCCGGTTTGTCAGTTACACCGGCTTTCGCAGGGTAACCGGTGTGGGCCTCCAAGCCAACTGGGGAACCTTCTGCGCCATCGCTCACTGTCGCTGTGCGTCGGGTCCTGCGTCCTCTCCCGCCGCTGCTGAAGCACGTAGCTCTGTGTTTCAGCTTGATTGCGTGACTGCCCCGTGGCTCTCGCAGCCCTGTGCAACACAGTTGGGAGGTTACCGGTTATCGCTGGGCACTGAAGACCCGGTGAGGTTAACAGTAATTACATGAGCTTAGCTTGAACTTTGGGGCTCGTTCAGATAGTCTGGACTTGAAGCATAGCTCAGGGCTCAAACCCAGGCAGCTCCAGCCCATCTGCAAAGCTCACGTGCAGCCCCCGCGCCCGAGTTCTTGTGGCCACGTTGCAGACCATTTATTTTCCCATCCTAGGCAATTTTCTGTTTGCCTGAAGTTCAGTATCTTGACCTCAGACAGATCCCAGTCCTTCTTCCACACATTACCGTTCGGGATTTCGAAACGGAGCAGATTTAAAAGTGACTTTGCAGTGGCCCTCGCTCCGCAGCATGCTGAAGTCCTGCAGAGAGAAGGTGCAAGGCGTGCGTCAGATGATTTGCGGCCCGGGCACAAAGACACAGATAAGTGGGGCAACAGCCACTGAGCCACCAGCCAAATGTGTTTATGTAGGATTTATACAGCACTGCAGTCCACCTGGAGCTGCGGGCTTTGTGCTAGAGAGGCCTTTTGAGGACACAGGCGCGGAAGACTCCTTAGAGCCCTCACACCTGGTGGTGGCTCTGGGCTGACCTCTGGAGGGGCTTTTCCCAGCTCACACCGACGTGTTCCCCTGGCTTTACGGAAAAGCAGCCAGCCGAAACTTTCAGCGGAGAGCTTTTCTCTCCAGCTAAGGTGCCTGAGGTCCTGGGGGGGATTTCTTTTGTCTTCACACCGCAGGCAGAGGGGCTTTGGCGTGGGGAGATCGGCCGGCGGAGGTTGGCTGGGGAGATGCTCGAGTGGGGAGCTGCCCTGTGGCCAAAGCGGAGCCGAGGGATGGAGGGGAGCCCTGGCCCAAGGCGCTGGGGGCGGCATGGGTGCCAAAAGCCTCGAGCCTGGCGTCCTGCGCAGGAAGGCACTGCAGGGGGTGGGATGGGGCGGTGAAGAGCGTGCCGGAGGTGCAGGCACTGCTGGTGGCTGGGCTGGCGCGGGCCGGCCTCACCGCAGCCGCAGGCTGGCTGCCAGCACGTGGATGGATTGCTTCTGCAGAGGGGCAGCCCGCTTGCCAAAATGGGTGTTGGTGTGACAGTTAATGTCCATTAGTGTATTAGTGATGCTCTGACAACCACCAGCGTCCCCGTCCTGGCTGGTGCTGCCAGATGGGTTTGTACCGTGGAGGGAAGCGCATGGCCAGGTGATGATCAGTTCTGCGGCCGTGAGCGGAAAACGCCCGGAGCGGGCAGGCGCTGGAGCTCGTCTCACTGCTGCTGGACCACAGGGTGCACAGCAGAGAGGACAAGATCAGTCGCAGTGGGGACATGCACAGGTTTGCGGTGAGCCGGCTGTATCCTGACGACAAAAAGGACCACGCAGCACCAAGGCTGGGGACGCCGAGGGGGGTGAACGCGTCAGGGCCAGGAAGGACGCCGCTGAAAGCAAACATCGTGTGCTGATGGCAGAGCAGGTTGGGAAGACATCTGGTCACGCCGAGTAAACATGAGCCCCTCGCCCAGAGAGGTGCAGTGCTTCTGTGTTTCAGCGCGTGTGGCTTACGTCCCCGGCCACGGCTGCTGCGGCTCGCCGGCATCGAGGGTGCAGGGACAGATTTCAGAGGCCACATGAGGGGAAGCCAGAGCGCAGTGAGCAGGAGGCGGGGAAAGCCGGCATGTGCTCAGGTGTTTGCTGGGCTCCATACTGGTGTGTGCCCTCGCCAGCTGCTGCCCTGCCGCCATCTCTCCCAAAACCTCAGCGCTTGTCTTCCATACCGGAGGAAATAACACACTCAGCCTTCCATCTTCTCCTTATTCTGAGGCTCTGAGCGACCTCCGGAAGGGCAGCACGTGTTGAAACAGGGGGCAGCCCAAGAGCAAAGCTTCGGCCAGACGCGCAGCTCGGTGGCCAGCTCCTTCGCAAGCTGTCATAGGAGCGTGGCAGCTCTCCGTGAGGAGGCAGCTGTGAAAGGCTCGCGTTGGGCGAGGCGGGAATGTCCTGCGCCTGGGATTGCAGAGCCAGGGCCAGGTACAGCCTCAGCACTGATGTTCCTGTTGGAGGTGGCAGCGTGTCAGAGAGGTGTTGGGTCTGGCTTGGTCCTACTGAAAAGTCTGCCCCCCTTCCCAGTTTCACCAGCTGTGCTGTCCGCCAGTGCCGGTGGGGTTGCGAGGGCAGCAGCACTGATGGCAGAGAGGGAAGAAAGTGGGTGGATGTGGGGTGGGAAGGGGTGGCCTCAGGGTCTGCTGCCTGCTGCCAAGCCCAAACCCTCGGAGGGTGATTCCTGGAGTGCTCCTGGTCCAGGCTGGTGGGGGACTGCACCTGACAGACCTCACCCCTGCAATGGGCAGGGCTGGGGGGCGCCCCGTGGTCTCTGCATGGGTGCACTGATCTCACTTCGCCGCACGGCGCAGGTATCCTCTGGATGGGGTCGTGAGCAGAACCCGTCGCTGAGCCGCGTCTGTTCTCAGCCCCTTGCGTTCCAGCACTGGACTCACCAGTGGTTGCCGTGGTCTGCCGACCGCGATTCATGGTGCTCCGCCTGCTTGGTGGGACCCCATTTCATCACGCCCCCAAGCAAAAGCCGTTGGGTTTCCTACTGACGTGCTCCAGGCCGCCTCGCCGTGGCTCTTGCCAGGAGAAGGGAGCCTGCAGAGCGTTGCTGGAGGTGCTTCAGCTCCGTGGTCGTTACCTGTCGGCTCACCTTGACATGAGCACCCGCAGGCAAAGAGACATTTATCTGGAAGGTCTAGGAAATTTGGCACTGCCTGGAGATCTCTAGAGGAGGGAACTGCATCTCCCTGGAAATGTCTGGAAGATCTTACAGAAGACGCGCTGCTGCTGTTTATGCTGATAACCCAATAATCCAATTCCACGCACACCTAAAGCTTTGCTCACAAGTTACTTGCCTTTACCTTGTACCCAGGCACCAGCTGCTGCAGAAACGCTGCGTTGCGCGTTTATTGCCCTTCCTTAACGTGTGCCTGCGGGGAGGCCCCAGGCAGAGTCGCCGCCTGCAGCCGGGGTGACACAGAGGAGAGGGGGCCACGGACCGGCGCCGGTGCGAGGGGAGTGACGACTTGTGCTGTAAGGACGGCTCAGGCACTCAGACCCGCTCCTGTACCTAACTTGGCTCCTGCCCCGCAGTTATGCACGGGGCTATGCTCTGCTTGGAGGGCCCTGGAATACAGCGCTTCTCCCTTCCGCACCAAGTAGCTGTAAGCCGTGAGATTGATGGAGCTGGAGATCCTCAGAGGAGACGGCGAGATTTGTCATGCCCGAGCTGGCGTGGAACTGGAGGCGGTCCGACTCCTCCGCGAGTATGCTGCTGTTTGGGGGAACCACTCACTGTAGCTTTTGATGTATTTTCTTTGCCCCAGTAGACGTTTCTCCCACTGCCATGCAAGTTCCTGTAGTGTGTCTGGATGTGCGGTACTGAGTGCTCGCCCGGGGGTTGCTGTGAGCTGCGGGAGATGGAAGAGTACTCAACACTCCTGGTGACAACTGTGGTCAACTTCGGTGCCCGCTGGGTTGACAGCTTGGGTTGGCCAGAGAGGCCGTGGTGTCTCCGTCCTTGGGGCTATCCAGACACTGCTGGTATGTGGTCCTGAGCAACTGGCTCTGGGTGGAGCGGCTGGGGAGGTGGTGGGAGCGGCTGGGGAGGTGGTCAGAGTGGTTGAGAGGCGATTGGAGCGTCTGGGGAGGCAGTGGGAGCATCTGGGAGGGGTCAGAGCGGTTGGGGAGATGGTGGGAGTGGTTGGGAGGTGGTTGGAGTGGCTGGGGAGGTGGTGGGAGCGGCTGGGGAGATGGTCAGAGAGGTTGGGAGGTGGTGGGAGCGGCTGGGGAGGTGGTTGGAGCATCTTGGACCCCGCTTGGACCAGGTGGACCCCAGAGGTCCCTGCCAGCCTCAGGGGGTCTGCTTGTCTGCAAACTTTGC